CTTTTTCTCAATATCTCTCTCTAGCTCTCTCTCTCTCTCTCTCTCTCTCTCTCTCTCTCTCTCTCTGGCTCACTCTCTCTCACGTCTGTCTTTCTCTCTCTCCCTCACGCACTCTCTCTATACTACACTATAAACTTTTCTAACACCTCTTGGACACTATTATACCTTGCCTATGTTATAGCTATCTCTACCTTATATAGCATGCCTCGCATTATTTGTCTAGGTGTCTGCTGATCAACTATGTAAGTGCCATGTCGTAGCTGTCGCATTTGGGGTAGGCGTCTCTCTCTCACTCAGTCACTGCCCTTGTCCCCTCTGCCTCTTACTCTCTCCCTCTCTCTCTCTCTCTCTCTCTCTCTCTCTGTCTTCCGCACCTTAAGCGACTCGCTTAGATTTGAAAAGTCAGAGCTTAATATGCTTGTCGGTGTTAAAAACTATGTTCGTCACAGCAAATCGAGGCGAACTGCTTTAAGAGCTCATCAATTTTTTTGTAATTAGTGCAATCCTCTCTGTCTCTCGGTCTCTCGGATGTGACTTACATAAGTGATGGCCGACCAGACTAACTATCTATCTATAAGCTGTAGTCCATATATATATAGAGCGTAATGCACAAAAGTTTCTATACGTTTCGTTTGTGGACGGAGTGTTGTTATCTTTTCTTTTTGGGAACTGTCGCACACGAATGCACAGCGGCAAAAGAAGAGTGAGAAAAGAAAAAAAAACGAAAACTTTAAAAGAAAATGAAAATTCCCAAAGGAAGCATAGATAATGAGCACAATGCCACCCCAGTGGCAATGGCCAGTGTGACCAGCCAGTCAGCCAGTCAGGCCGTCCAGTCGGTCGGTTTTGGCCCGCTTGTCAGACGCTGGCTGGGTCGACTTCTGGCCCATGGTGTCAGCCATTTTGCCACGGCCGAGTACAATGGCAACAGCAGCAGCAACAGCAGCAACAGCAGCAGCAGCAGAGGCTAGCATATTGCCATTGTGCCTGCTCTCCACTTGTCTCGCAGCTCGTCTCGAGTCGACTCTCTCAGCTGGCGTCGCAGTCGCAGTCGCAGTCGGCGTCGTCATTGCCTGTCTCTGCGTTGCTTTTGTTTTTAGCCATTGTTAGCAGGAGGCAGCTATGTGTGGCTGCTGTTGCTGCTGCTGCTGCTGCTGCTTTTGCAACATTTGAATGATTCTCGTTGGTCGTGTCAGTCCCACGGGTAATTATTGACACGGTTGTATGCACGCAGCCCAAAAACACACACAAACACACGTACACAGAGAGAAACTGAGCAGCTAGCATGCCACGCGAAATAATAAATAAAGAAAAAAAAGTAGAAGCCAACTCGATATAATAATGAAAATGTCGGCCATACTCAGTGGCTAGCGGCGGGGGAGCTGAGGGTGACCCGTTGTTAAGGTGGTGCCGAGTGGTGCGAGCGGGTGTGCTCGCCGGCTCGCTCGTCGATGTCGGTCGCACTTAACACGCACGGCTACATTAAAACCAATGAAAACTACAATTTGCCATCTTATATTACTACAGTTTTATCATACGACTCTATATACGAGCATAGCCCTAATGTGAATAAGCATTTATAGCACCCAAGTGCGACGCCAGCGGCAGCGGCAGCGGCAGCGGCAGCGGCAGCGGCAGCGACTGAGGCGGCCGCAGCGAGGTATTAGAACTATGTCAGAGTGTTTGACACGAAGGCTAAAAAGTAGATATATACTACACTATGAGAAAACGTAGAATAGTTGCAGTTGAGCTACGCTCGAAGAGTGTTTGATAAGAGGAGAAATATATGGGCATCTTATATAAACTAGATTTAATCCTTCCCCAGAAGTTCCCAAATTTCTTAAAGAAAGCGGAAAAAATTAAAATTTAGTGGATTCCACAAACTCTTTTTAACTTAAGCTAAATATGCTCTTAGTTAATCTTACAAAATTTCACATTTTTCTTTACATTTAAGCTCTCTCCATACAATATTACCATATGTTCTATACAGTCAACTTTATCTCAATTTAGAGCATTCCAAATTCGGGTTCATTGATTCTTAAATGCCTTTGAGTTATTTAGTTGTAAAAGTTATTTAGCCTAGGGGCAGGTTTTTATCTATGTGGGTGTGTTTGATACGTGTCTGCACAAGGCTGTGTGTGCGTGTGTATAAGTCAGTGTGTGTGTGTGTGTGTGTGCTCGCATATCAACCCCAAAAATGGCAGGTGGCAATAGATATATGGTTAGGCACTGTATACGTAGGCAGCCATGTTCCTTTCTCTTATATAATTTGTGTTTCTACTTTTTAATTTGTAATTAAGACAGCTATTCAGAAAATATAGAAATTGAAGTGCAAAGGCGTGGGCGTAGCTATGTAAGATGCTATATGTATACACATACATATATGAATTTAATATGCATATACAATAGTATATATACACATATATATATTCGAATCAGGTTCACAAAACTTCTCGTCTCGTATTTAATGACAAAATATTTGATAATAACAATAACAATTTTGCGCGAATTATATATTTGTTGATAAAACATGAAAGCCGACGCATAAATTGAAATTATTGCAATTGCGCTTCTGTATATATACTTAAAATACCTCATATATTCATATGTATATACCTATATTTATATATATACATATATCTATATTTTACTTATATATAACTGGCTTTCAATTATGCGCAAATATTTGTTGTTTTATTCCACATTTAATTCAAATATATATAAATTTTATTATTATTATTTTATTTTTGGGTTTGACAAAAAAAAACACACACAAATATTGTTGTTAGGCTGACGCAATTTTTATGCAAAATTACTAACCGAAATTTTGTTGTACCAAAATTTGTGTGGAATCAGCTCTCAGTGAAACATGCGAAATAATAATACATATATGCATTTAAATTATGGGCTTAATGCAAATGTCCTGCAGCTAAGGGCAATGAGCAGCCAAATAATATAAACAAATTAAAAGAGCAAAAACACATATTATTAAAAAAAAATTATATATGTGTATATATATATATATATATATATATATATATGTATTACTAAAAGCGCAAGAGATGTTATAAAAAATATATTAATAAAATATAAATATATATGTATACATTTAAATAAGCGCAAAAAATAATAAAATGTATAATGAATTATATAAAATGTAAACAAATTATGTATAAGAAAAAAAGTAATTGGAGTTTTAATTTAATTATTTGCAGTTGAATGGGGAGAAAATGTAGAAGATTTATAGAGAATTATAATTACATATATACAAAGTTTATTATATTGGTTATTATACATTTTATATTGAAATTATAATGGTTATTATTATTTGTGGCTGGAGGCAGGAACATTGAAAGCCTTACAAAAAAATATATAAATTTAAAAAAAAATGGAAATCTTATCTTCATTACTAATACTAATAAATCACTATATAAAACTTCATTACCAAATTAAAAAACTAAAAAATTTCAAAATAGTTACATTTAGTTAATTATCCACCCTAAAATTCTTGCTAATGATCCATATATACAAACAATAACTTTTTATTTATAATCAATAAAAAGTGAACAGGAATCAGAAACTCTTGTTAACGACATTAACTTTCATTAACAATCTCCCCATTAACAGCCACATCAGCTGGAGAGCGGGCAGCCAAGTGGCCAGGGGGGCCAGGGCGCGGGCTGGTTTATTAGTTAATTGTGACGTAGGCAATCGCATTGTAATATGCCCACTTAATTGTTAATTGCTTTTCGAACACTTTAAACAAACAACAAAAATAATAACCGTAATTAACGCAATGGGAAATCGAATCCAATTGGAGGCAAACAACAACAATAACAACTGCAACTATAACAAAAGACTCTCGCTCTGCATTGTGGCTGTAAAACTGTCAAGTCCAACGACTCATCAACTGTAAATGGGCAACGTTAACGCTAATTAAATAACAATAAAAGGACATATATTTGCAAATAAAATTCTTGTTTGATTTTTTTTTTCGAATAATATTCTCTTTTATTTGTTTTTTTTTTTAAGTTTTTCATGTTTTTTTTTTTTCTTTTTGTTTTCTTGGTTTAAATTTCTCTGTGTATTTGTGTGTGTGTGAGACTGTGTATGTGTGTGTGGGTGGAATTTACCGCTTTGTTGACTTGGTGCTTCCATTTGTTGTAGCATAATTTATTATACAATTGAGGGCATGGCTTAAAGATAAATATTTTGTTTTTGTTTTTGTTTTTCAATCATCGTCTTTATCATTAGCTTTATCATTACCATTATCATTAGCATTATCATTATCATTATCATCATCTCATTCTCTATATGCATAGTGTTCAACATACCAAACAAAATAACTAAAATTATTTTCGTAATAATTTTTTTTACCCAAAAAGAAAATTAAAAGCAATTTTTTGTTTTGTTTTTTTTTTTCGGTAATATTTAAAAGTTTTGCGTATTTATATATATATATATAATTTTCTTGTCATTATTTATACAATAAAAAATTAAAAAAGTTGTACGTATATCAAAAAACACATTTATAATATTTCATTTTGTTTTTATTTAAGTTTTTTGTTTTTGTTTTTTTTTTTTTTTTTAATGTACATCAATTATATATTTTACAATTTAGCTTTGTTTGATTAATTTTGTATTTTTAAGATTTAGCTATATGTGTGTGTGTGTATTGGAGTTTTCTTATAGAGAAAGTACAGTACTAAGTAACTAAACTTCTTTTTGTGCCTATTCATTATATTATCGCCTAGAAATTAAAAATTTATATTTAAGCATGTTTTCTCATTATTATATTATATTTTATATATATGTTTTATGTTTTTGTATTTTTTTTTTTTTGCTGTTTTTTTCAGATATTTTATTAAAAAAATCTACAATTGCATTTAAAGCTAAAAATATGACTTAACTGTAGTTTTATTTACAGAATGTTTATTTAATTTATGTTTTTCTTTTTATGAATTATGTTTTTGTGTTTTCTTTTTTTTTAGAGTACATTCTACTGGCTATATATGGGTATATATATATATATTGGATGTATATATATATATATATCTGCACGGCTGTTGGATAGACTAAAACCCTAGCTAGAACCGAGTTGATCAGAGTTTTGTTTCTTTTGCGGTGGTTCAGCTCGAACCACTTGAGCGCTACACATATTTTACGATTTTTCTTTAGTTTTGCTTAAATATATATATTTAATATTATATTATATTTGTTTATTATTTGTTTTTTGTTTTGTTTTGCTAGTTCTCTAAACTCACACGGGCGACAAAGTGTTGGGTCGTAGGCTAAATGGGGGCGTGGTCAAATGTTTTTTATTTTCTTTAAGATTTACCTTTGCTTGGATGGAATCGCAGCTGAAGGCCAAAAGTTGTTTAACGATTTCAATTTTCTCTTGTTCTTATTCTTGTGGAACATTTACCAACACTTGTCGCACTTTAGCTAGTTATCGATTTACAATTTGATCGATTTTTGTTTGTTTTTTTTTTTGTTTTTTTTTTTTTTTTTTTTAAATTTAGATTTAAAAACAACATCACTTGGTTTCACGTTTGATTTGAATTGCGTGTTTAAATTTTTTACAACGAGTTTTTGTTTTTTATTTGTTTTTGAAAGTTTTTGAAACTTTGAAGTTTGAAACAAAAATACACACATACATACATATATATATAAATGTATAATCGTGTTAAACAAAGAGATGAGAGGCAGCTGCCAGGCTATGTCTATATGTATTTATGTATATAAAAGAATATGAATAAGAAGAAGAAGAGTATTCAGCTAACTGATCCACTGCCCTAACTAATTAGTTGTAACACAGATTAATGCACTGGTAAAAAGGGGACTTAAGGGGGGTAGGCATGGAGCAGCCCCGAAATGGGCGAGAAAGACGAAGGACGAGAGCTGAGACTCCAATTGGAGCAGGGATCGAGCCAATCGGAGTCAGATCTGCATCTGGTTTTCAGGGCTGCTCGCGCTTGCATTGCGGCCACCCGTCCGACAGCGTGTCCTAGGAGGACTCGTAGCCGAACCAGGCGGCCGACGAATGCTATTCACCACCCGAACCGCCGCCGCCAAAGCTATTGAAGTGACGCACTGCACCCGGCGCGGCGGCCGCACCGAACTGCAGGCTCAGCTCGAAGAGGCGACGGGCGTGCAGCTGCTGTTGCTGCTGCTGGTGGTGATGGTGCTGCTGGTGATGATGGTGCTGGTAGTGATGGTGCTGATGCAGTGCCGCCGCCGAGTGGGCGTTCAGATTGAGATGGCCGCCCAGCACACTCGACGCCGATCCCGGCGAGGCGGCGCTCGGCGGCTGCAGCGGCAGGCCGCTGTTGCTGCCGGCGCCGGGCGACAGCTGGGAGCTGCTGCTGCCCTGCGTCTGCGACTGCAGGTGCTGGGCGTGGGGATGCTGCAGCTGATCGCTGGTATGGAATAGATGCGGATGATGCGCGGGATTTAGATGCGGATGCTGGTGCGGATGATGGGCGGTATGATGCGCATGCTGATAGCGCATCGGGTCCATGTACATAGCAGCTGCTGCAGCGGCTGCTATGCTGGACGCCTGTTGCTGTTGCTTGACTTGCTCCTCGTTGTTATTGTTGTTGTTATTGGTGCTGTTGTTGTTGTTGTTATTATTGTTATTGTTCGTCTGACCATTAGCGGAGGAGCTGCCCAGCGGACTCTGCGGCGACATCACCTGACCCTGACTGGTCATCGTCACCGAGGAGCCCGCACTGGATGAGGGTGTATTGGGCGTGTGTTGCTGCTGCTGCTGCTGCTGCTGTTGTTGTTGCTGCTGCTGCTGCTGCTGTTGCTGCTGTTGCTGTTGCTGCTGTTGGTGTTGCTGTTGCTGTTGGTGTTGCTGCTGTTGTTGTTGCTGTTGCTGTTGGTGCAGACTGTTTGCAGGAGTGGACGCAGCTGCAGCTGAGTTCGACTCCTGGATTTCTGATTGCTAGTGAGCCGCCAACTGGTGAGCCGACTGCATGTTCTGGGGGCTCAGCATTGGCGGGCTGTGGCTGTGCGAGTGGTTGCCCATGGGGCTGCCGTGCATGTCGTGGTGCGAGTGGTAGCCACCGTGGTGCATATGTCCCGGTGGCATGCCGTCCATCATGTCGCCGCCGAGCGTGTTCGGTGGCGTCATTCGCTTCTCCTTCTGACGCCGATTGCAGAACCACACGCGCACCACCTCCTTCTCCAGCTGCAGCGAGTCCGCTAGCGATGTGATCTCCTGGGCCGAGGGCTTTGGCTGCTTGTGGAAGTGCTGCTCCAAGGCGCCCTTAACGCTCACCTCGATGCTCGTGCGTTTCTTGCGCTTGCGTCCCTGTGCGGCGATCTTGTCGATGCTCGTCGGCGAGCCCGTGGTGGAGTCGGCCTCCTCGAGCCACTTCTGCAGCAGCGGCTTCAGCTTGCACATGTTCTTGAAACTTAACTGTAGAGCCTCGAAGCGACAGATTGTCGTCTGGGAGAAGACGTTGCCGTAGAGCGTGCCCAGGGCGAGGCCGACGTCTGCCTGGGTGAAGCCGAGCTTGATGCGGCGCTGCTTGAATTGCTTCGCGAACGCCTCCAGATCATCGGATGTGGGCGTGTCTTCCTCGCCACCACTGATCGTGTCACGATCCCCACCACCGCCGCCCATGTGATGTGGTATATGCAACTGCGGCGACTCGCCGCGGAGCGCATGATGCAGTGGCGCCACCTGATGGTGGGCCGGATGATGGTGCAGCATACCGTTCATGGCCGCGTGGTGGTACTGCAAGGGGGAGCCGCCCGTGGACGCATAGTGGCCGGCGTGTGGTGCATGCCACGGCGCCGCAGCATGCGGCGAGGCCATGCCCTGCTGGATGCGCGTCTGTTGGGACAAATGTGACATCTCCTGCTTGACGGAGTCAACGGCTGCGACGGCGGCGGCGGCGGGATGATGGTGCGTCGTGTGATGTGATGTGATGGGCAGGGACCACGGATCCGGATGCAGGGCGCTCCAGCTGCCCAGCCCCGAGCCCGGCGTCAGGCCGCCCAGACTGTTGCCCTGTTGCACCTGCCCGTTGGGCGATGGCGACGATGGCAACTGCTGTTGATGGTGTGAGGCAGCGGCAGCGGCAACGGCTGCATGATGATGGTGGTGATGCTGCATGTACTTCATTTCGCCAGCATCGGCGGCCGAGCGGGGCGAGGATGTGTGATAGCCACCACCGCCGCCGCCGCCTCCGCCGCCGCCACCGCCGAGGGCCATGTCTAGATCACCGCTGGGCGGTGTCATATAGGAGGTAGCGGCCATCCCCACCGCTCTGGGGCTGTTCAGGCCCTCCACGCTGGCGGGGTAGGGCTCCAAGTTGGGGCTCAGTTTAACGACTTTGTAGACCGATCGATCGAAAGGAAGACCTGAGTCCCTATGCTCATTCCACTCGAACCGTGAGGCAACCGTTTTGAAGTCTTTTACTGGCAACGTGGCTGCACCAAAAATTGTGGGCGTGGCGGCACGCAACACACTCGCTCAACACTCAACACACTGAACACTCGCAACACACTCAACAAGTTTCGTCACCGACGGCGCGACGAACAAATTTGTGTTTTCAATTTCTTGCGATTTTTCTCATTTGTTGCGCAAAAAACTTTTGTTTCTTCTTTTATTTCTTTGCTCAATTTATTTAATTTTTATGTTGCGCAGTTTTTTTTTATTTGTATTTTATTTTTATAATTTTATTTTGTATAAATTTCTTGTTTTGTTATTGTTGCACTTTGTGGCTTGATTTAAACACTTGGCACTATTTCTTCGTTGTTGATTTGTTGTCGATGTTGTTGCTGTTGTCGTTGTTGTTGCTGATGTTCTGGATGTTGATGTTGCTGATGTTGCTGCTGCGATTGCTGTTGTTATTTTGTTTTGATTGTTGTCGTTGTGTAGTCACAAAAACACAGAACGAAATTACATCAACTATTCAGATCTCGAGAATCGGCATTCAGTATTGTGTTTGAGATTTTGTTTCAGCTTGCGGATCAGCTTTGAGACGCCAGAGACAGCGCACATAATAATAATAATATATACTATAAATATACACACTGAGAGACGGCAAGCCCAGCAGACACACTATAGAGAGCCTATGGGACAAATTCACGTGCAAACTCGTAGAGCTATCGAAGTGAACTAACGTCATGCAGCGGCCAGCGGCGCTACGTAGACGGCGCTCTCGATGCTCGACAACAACGACGGCACACACACTTACACGAACGAGCGAGCGCACACAGCGCACAGCACACAGACACACAAATACTCACACACTCGCACGCACGTACACAGTTAGCGTGGCGAAACCAGTTTTCAACCCGTCTTCCAATGCGCCATGCGCGCAAGCGAGACGCTTAACATGGTAACGACATGTATGTTGCGCGTGCGAACGAGATGGCCTGTGAGAGCGCATGAGACTGGAAGTCGACTTGCGCTCTATTGGGCTCGCTGTTCGCTTTCCAGTGCCGCCCACCAAACAGGCAAGCGGCAAGCAGCAAGCAGCGTCGCATTCCCATGCAGAGTGACATTTTTAATTGCCAGCAGCAGCAGGCCAGCAAGGGAGAGCGAGAGCGCAAGAGGCGCGCGCGCACACAGGCCTGTGTCAGACGGGAAAAGCTTTTCGCACAGGACTGCGGCCGCTACAGGAAGCTTTGTTCAGTTCGCTGTCGTCGCTCTTTGGGCTGCCAACTTTTGCTTTCATTTTGTTGGTGTGCGAGTGAGCGTGTGCTCGAGTGTGTGTGAGTGTGTGTGCTTGTGGGGCGTGTGCAATGGCAACACTACAATGGGGCGGGCAATGCAACTCACTACGGACTACTGACAACGGGCAACGGGCAACGGGCAGCGAGCAACGGACAACGGACAACGGGCAAATAGGCAAACGGGCGAACGGCATCGGGCAAACGCTATCTCCGATATCGGAGCATCTAACGCGTCCGAGAACAACTGTAAAATCAGTCGCACATTAATTGAAATGTATCGCGGCAATAAATTTGCATGCAAATGTTACAATGTTTCAATCTTCGTCCAGTTTCCAGTTCGCAGCTTTTGTTATGCATATCTGTCAGTTACTTTCAAAGAAAGGCCCATTGTCTATGTGTGCCTATAAACGGTGTCGGTGTGTCGCTGTATGCGTGCGTGCGTGCCTAAGTGTTTCTGTGTGTGGGTTGCTTTCTGTTTTGGTACTCGTGCTTAGTTTACCGTTAGGCATTCTCCTTGCTAGTTATTGATTTGCAGAGAGTGTTAATTTTGTTGTTTCTTTCCGCTGTTATTGATTTTCCATTTAACAGTATTTGCACAAATACGCGCCATTTGCCAGCTCCCAGTTGCCATTTACCATTTGCCATTTGCCATTTGCATAGCTGCGATTTGTATGTAAACAGAGTTGAACTTCTTTTGTGCGTTCTCTCTATCTATCGTTATCTCTCTCTCCATCGCCCTTAGACCGCCTTTGTCTGTGGCTGTTCGAGTTTTGATTTAGTAGAGCTGCACAGATAAAGCGCGCTTTGTAAACAGTTTTTATTTTGGTTTCTGTTTCGGCACAATGGAGCAACAGTTCATCAGTACACTGCACAAAAATCCACAACACTTGTGACTTGATGAAATCTGGACTTTTGTCTGCTGCAAAGTTTACTTCCAAGTTGCGGGAAATTTTCAAACTAATCTAACTAATTACTATTAATTAGAAGCAGTTATTAAATACGTCTGGCGATAGTTAATATGCAGTGTAATCTATTTATTATCTGCTAACGGCTTTAAGCATCGCCTATATTTATTGTAATTTTATGCATTTAATTATATATTTTTTTTTTTAATTTATAGAACGGTTCTATTAGCTGATTTAAGCATTTGTAAATATGTAACAAATGATTTTTCTATAAGGAAAATAAATTTAACTGTCACATCTTCATCTATTTTAAAGAGTTTTCCTTATTTTCTCACCTTATTGCCACCTCTCTCATATTCTCTGTCTCTCTCTCTTTTCAACTATTCTTGCGGCAGGTCAAGCGTTCAGTTTGTGTCCAAAATTATGCAAACTAAGGTCAACGCCATGCACAACAAGCACACACACACACACACACTTACACTGGCACACACATCGCCAAGTTCAACAATATTTGCATCACTTTGTTTACATTCTGTTGTTGTTTTTCAAATTTTCTGTGTCCTTTGGCCACACACTTGGGCATAATTAATAAGCCGCAGAGCGAGCGCTAAGCGAGTCAAGTTGTGTCAGCCAAACGCGGGTAGCCACAGAGCCGCGGCTCACGCTCCTTGGCCAAATTTACATGATAATTAGGCGACGGCGTTAAAATATAAAAAACAGAAGAAAAAAATACAAATACAGAAAAAAAAATATATTTAAATTTCAAATGATGCTAAAAATCCTGTTTAGCTCGCCGTCTCCGCAGCCCTAGCCTGGACGTATGCTAAATGCGCACGCGCCGCGCTGCCTGAAAAGGACTTGTTGCATAATTATGCGAGTAAATGAGAGAGAGAGAGAGAGAGGGAGATAGAGAAAAAAAAAACATAACTAAGCGCTGTATTTATGAATGAAGATCTCTCCCTCTCTCTCTCTCTCTCTCTCTCTCTCAGTCTGTATATTCCTCTGCCTTTTGATTTGGATGATAATGAGGCGCGATTAGCATTTTGACTGCATTCGTTTGGGTTTCGTTGCCGGCGCACTTGCTTATAATTATTAGCATAATTGTCTTCTTATTTTGCATTAGCTGGTGTCGTTATTGTTGTTGCTCCTCACACACACGCACACACACACACGAAATGACAACGAAAATCGTATATGAAATAAAAATATTTGCCAACTGCTCTTTTGTTTTCGTTTTTTTGCAAATTAATTTGATCATCGCTTTGAAGACCAGATTTAAACTGGTCTCGTTGTCTGAGGGGCCAATTAAGGCGCGGGAGTCCATAGAAGTGAACCGAGCGAAAAAAAAACATTTCAGCGCCTAATTGTGGTCTTATTTAACGCTGAAGTGTATTCAAAACAAGCGAATTTATTGAGTAGCTATAAGAATCTTAAGTATTTAAGCGCAAATATGTAAATCGAAAGCGCTTAATATATATATGTATATGTAAATAATCTATCGTAACTCAGCATTAGCTAAACATATTTGAAGTGCCTCGGTGCCAATGAACCGCGCATACAATATTGAAGCTGCAAGTTGATAATTTCATTAAATTAGCATTATCATACAATTCACTTGGCGTACTTAATAATACTATATAATAAAATATATAAGAAATTGAAAATTTGTATTTTATCAAAAGTAAATAAATTTTCATATGGAAATTTATTATGATTCAGCTTTAACTATACACAGTTATTTAAATATTTTTATAAATAATTTATAAATAGTATTTCAGAAATAGAAATGAATGTTAATTTAAAATAAAAATAGCTTTATTCTACCTTACCTGGCCTATTTTAAAAATTAAATATTATTTAGTTTGCTTAAAATATAAGAACTTAACTCTAACATATCTCTCTGACTTAAAAGTATTCATTGAATTTGATGATTTTGATTTCGTTAAGGTCCCAATTTCTCTATCCATCTATCTTTGTACTCTCTCTCTCTATTTCACCTTATATTCTCTTACATGTTCGTTATACAGTTTTTCTTCAGCTTATATACATTTTTAATTCTGCATGATTTCATTTTCATTGCCAAAACAAAACGTTTCATTAGCTTATGTCAAAATACAGCTGCATTTCGTTGAGCTCGACAGACAGATATAGGCACAATATGAAACCCATCCCAAAGAGACAGTCGTCGGTCAACTCTTTACAAAAACGAAAACAAGAATAATTGCGCGCCAAAAAATAGCACACACACACGCACACACAGATATAGAGGAAGCTACCCATAAGACAAGCAGAACTCTAAGACAACCCTTCCTCGCCTTTGCCTGCCCTGCCAGGCAAGGTCAGAGCCAGCGGCTTCACATAGGCAAATCGCATAGGCAAATTTGCTCGAGACAGCGAACTTCTTAAGCTGCTTTATCCTTTTGCAGTGTTTTGGTGGCTCTCCCCTCGTCCTGCGTGCTGCAAGCAGCCATTTATCATTTTTTGCCGTTTCGCATTTTGAAATTTGTGCAATTTTTGCGATTTCTGCAATTTTGCATGCGAGCCGGGCCAGGCCAGGCCAAGCTGGCTGCAATCAGGCTGCGTCGCGTATCCTTTGGCCTTTATCCTTTCACTTTCGCTACCTACAAGCACCCCAAATGTTTGCCAAATTCCAATACACACATACACTCGCAGGACTCGCTGTCATATGCAAATTAGCAGAGCCTAAAAAAACGTTAGAGCACATTTTTTTTCGTCCCGCCAAAAAAACAACATAAAAACTCAAATGGCAATTGTTGTTAATGTGTGTGAGTGTGTGTGTGTGTACGTGTTCAGGACGAGGTCCTGCGCAACGGCATCTAAATGCATTTCGGTGCGCCTCATTGGCTCTGGCATTGAGCTCAACTGTCAATGCGACCCAGGCAAAGGGCAAAATATGCAAATTAGTTAGTGTTGTTCTCTTCCTCTTGCTCCTCCTCTCCTCCTGCTCCCTTTTTATTTATTAACTAATTTATCTCTGCGTCCCATAGGCAACCCGTCAGGGCCGTGAAATATCGCAAAAACCGCTTGCAACAC